ATTATTTATTTGATTCTTTTTTTTTTTTTTGCTTTAAGCAAAATGTTTTATGTTTTTTTTTTCAGTAAACCTAATCACAATTACAGGACATCTTCTGCACAAAAGCTTTTATTTATTTTATTAACTTGCTGCTGCTCTAGTACATTAATATTTCTGTTGCTCAGTCAGACGTGTTGTAAAATAATTTTACATCCTTTCGGGCTAAGTAAGAATTCTACGTATTTATATAAATATTGCGAAAACAAGTAAAAATCAGCCATTAAATTTACATATTCCAGCGTCTCAGATAACAGATATTTACGACATGCACACACACTCATACACTCAGACACAGATACAGACAGGTCGTTCCCCGGACAGGTTCTATACCAAGTAAGCAACCCAAAAATAAACCATATATTCATCCACCCAACTGGCCAATAATATCAATATTATTGCTCTGCTCCTGCTGCTCTTTGCTGAACAGACAAATAATAAATAATAAATGTTGAATAATAAACAAAAACAGTATATCAAAATGGCATTTAATGCAGCCTAAAAACATACAAAATATTGGTTAAAAGACCAAAACGCTGCAAATATGCTACCAAAAGTCCAGCTTACTTTCCCTGCCTCTAACCCCCACTGCTCCCCAGCAGTCGCTGCTTCTGCCGCTGCTGGTGCAACACGTATTTTGCATATTTCGTAGATGACACCAAAAATTTGTGCTCCTTTCATACAAAAATAGGCAGAAAATTTGCCACCACCGTGACGTACAAATAATATTATTTGGGTGTAAACATTTAAAATGCGATCAAATGTGGCCCACATAGGTCCACAACTTAGTGCCCTGCTCCCTCCTTCCGCCATGCAGCAGCTATCAAGTGTTACATGCCAATATATAAATATATATACATACTTATATACATATATGTGATATATATTTTAACAGCCTCCCCCAAAAGTTGGGCAACACTTTGTGAGCATGTTGATGATGCATTTGTAAGCCGCTCTTTGCAATTGTGGGTGAGTGTGTGTGTGGGTGTGTGTGTGTTTGTGTGTGTTGAAGCTTGTGGCTTTGGCCAAAATGCATTTTGCTGTTGGCTGTTTGCTTTTAACCATTAAGCAGGTCGTGCGTGGAACCCGCCACCGCTTGGGCATGGCTCAAACATATGGAATTGTTGTGTGTTTGCAATTTTTGGTATGTTTTAACTCGTGGCCCAAACGAACACGTAACCCAAATTGCAAAATAAACCACACACGCTCCGCGTTACCGACAAGCAACAAGAGGGCGACCAGGTGTGCAACGTGGGGCCAACAACTGAATAGACTTAGGGGTTCAAGTAGCTTAGATAGAGAGAGAGTTGCACAGCAACCAGCATCAGCAGCAACCAGAAGCAGCAGCAGCAGCAACCCAATAACAAACAAACCCAAAAGCTGCTACCCAATATATATAAGCTAGAGTTCGACTCTGAATAGTCTGTAGGACGAGCACTCGAATCTAAAACAAATGGAGCCAACTTCAAATTTGTGGTCTCTAATCGACTTTGCAATGCTCTGAATAATATTTACTATTTCAGCTGGATGTGGAATGCAAACGGGCTGAAACGTAGCATAACAACCAGAGAAACTGAAATTGGTATCCATGAAAATTTTTTTTTTTTTTTTGCAAATATGATCTGTAAAAACCTGAACTACTATATAGTTTTTAATATTTACTTTTTGATTAAAGTCTTCTTGATTNTTTGATAACACATTTGCTAGAAAATTTGGGCTTCATTTCTATCAGAAATTTTAAGATTGACATTAATATTTTAAGAAATAATTATTGTGAACAATGTTATAAAATATGTTAGTGTAGACTGGTGTGAACTAGATGGAAGGCTTCCGCAAGGAAGAATACGGTCTGGTAGGTGTTTAAGTAGGGGTATTTTTAGTCTGTATGTGGAAGGATGAAGAGTATCAAAGGAAGTGATTGCGCCTAGCGTTCTGTTTAATAGAAGAGTCTTAAATTGGCTAAGTCTATCATAAAGTTTCTTGATTGTTGAAATTAATTAGCTTGTCAAACATTTCTAGATTGATAAGTATATTCTTAAAATAGCTTTCTAGGTAGAATACACATTCTTCAAATTCCCGAAATTCTTCAAATATTATTTTATTGGATATATGTATGTATATATGAATACATACATATAAATGATATAGATATATCAAGGAAAAGTAAAATTGAATAAAATACAATATATTTAAAATATATTAATGACATTAAAAATAAAAATATAAACTATAGAAACAAATTTAAAAAAAAATACAGTTTTTTTTTTTTGGTTAAAATATTGTATAATAAATATTAATATATATTTATTTATTCAATGTTATTTAAATTAATCTCAATGAAAATTTCGACTATACATTCTAGCTATAACTGTAAATATATTTTATATATTCTCTCAATAWTTCAATTAGCTTTTAACTGACAATTTTTTTTAGAAATATAATATATATCGTTATAATAATTTTTATTTTTGTATTAAGAAACAGTTGAAAGAATCTCAATGTTAAAGTCAAATAATTCTGAGCGGGGAATATAATACAATATATATAATTTTATACAATAGTTCATTTGAGTTCTGTAATATATTCATATTCCAACTTAAATTTCTCTATGTATATAGCCCAAAACTTTGTTCCATATTCGTACCCTAACTTCGTATTTTCTTAATTTTATTCCATTTCTAGCCAAATTATTCTACTTCATCTAGAGAAGAACATCCACTAAATATGCTCCATTCAGCAATTACCCTATACTTTCATGAGCTGAGCACATTACAAGTTTTGAAAACGTCTTTGCAGGTAAATCGAGGGAGCTAATGGGGCAGGGGTAGGGCGGAGGATTGAGCAAAAGAGAAGTGAGCAAAGCAGAGGTAAAACACATTTAAGTAACCATGAAATTTACTTAGAGTTTTCGTCTTATTTTTCCTTATTTGCTTTCTTGCTTTTCCCTTTTCCACTTCTTGTTGCATTAAAGCTAGCGGAATTCGAGTGCGAGGCAAATACAAATAAATGTGCTGAGGTGTGTGGTATACAACACTTAAATGGCGATAACACGCATACGCACACAGCATGGCTGGTGGGGCAAGTCAAGTGCTTGCAGTGGGGCCAAAAAGGGAAAGCAGCGCCAGATAAAGACAAGACAGGAAACAAGCGCATAACTGACCAGGCTGCCAGGCTACGTAGACATAGCAGACAGCATTTAGCAGAGGAGGAAAACGAGTTGCGCGCATATTGTATACGACTTGGTTGGTCAAAAGGGAAGCAACAGACAGTTAAGGTAGACACAGCATAGTCAGAGCCATGGCCAAAGGGGCTGACAGTAGTCGAGGCGAAAGTATTCAAATAACAGCTGAGGGATGGACTTAATTCCATTTGGCTTGGACTGATGAAATTTAAGAATTGTAGGTAGATCTTCAGCACGGATTCAGTGGAATGCTTTTAGCTAATAATATAGACTCAATCAATATTTATATTTTCTAATGCTGTTTGCATGCATATTAAATAGTTTCCACTCGGGAGCCACTTTTAATTGTGGTTAAAAATTGCTCGACGTTTAGGCCGCGCCTTGGCCTAATTAGCGCCCACTGCGGCACGGCTCGGCCGCCAACATCAAGCGAAAAGTTAAAAGCAGCAAAGTTTGGCAAGTTTGCCAGCAAAAGGTCGAGCGAGTGACCCTCGTTACTTACCCATTAGCGGCGCCCTCTGCCCCACCGGCTGTGGCGCCATTCGACGACGACGACGACGACGTCATGTCCGCTGAGGTAAGCGCCTCAGTGCCACTGCGCTCACGCACCAGACGATCTGAATGTAAACAACAGCGGTTAAGAAAATCTCTTGAATATTCATTTAAAGCCAAACTCTTGCACTCACCCGCTTCCTGGCGTTCCAGCTCCTCGGCCTGTTGGCCGGGCTTGGCTTTCACCTCGATGTTAATCTCCGCCGAGCTGAGCCCGGCGTGACACGAATAGATGCCGGCGTCACGGAAGGTGATGTCCAAAATGCGCAGTGCTCCCTTCTTGGACACCTTAAATTTGCGAGAACGGGCCAAAGGCTTGTGATCCTTGCTCCACTTGATTTTGGTGCGATTGTAGCGCTTCACCGGGCACTTGATCTTGACTTGGGTGCCAAAGAAGACGACTCCGGCGCCGCCCACCTTCAGTGTGATCTTTGTCTTCTTGGGATCGTGCTGGATGTGGGTCGAGTTGCTGATTTGTATCACGGGCTTGGGATCCTCCGGCGGACAGGGTTTCACGTTGCAGGGCTTCTTGTCCGGCGGCTTGACACTGGGACACATCGATTCGGGCCGTTCGATTTTATGCTCCTGCGCCATAATTTGCTTGCACTCCACTTTGCGATCCTTGATGCCGTAGCCGCAGGTGTGCGAGCACTTCGACCACTCGCCCACCTCCCAGCGCACCGGACAGTCCAGGACATTGCAATACTGCCGGTCCGCAGGCGGCGGCTGGGGGCACATGCTGTTGGGCACGACCATGGTGTTCTCGCCACCACGGGTCACCTCATGGATGCACTGCACCTCGCGTGTCTTGATGCCAATGCCGCAGCTCTTCGAGCAGGGCGTATAATCCGAATAGTTCCAGCGCGGCGGACACGGCCGATCATTACAGGTGCGCACACGCGCCTCCGGCTTAGTTTCCGGCGAGCAGAGGAAAGGCGAGACAACGCGCCCATTGTCCTCCCTCACACAGTTGATGATTAACTCCTCGACGCCGCCCAAGCACGACGCACTGCACGAGGTGTAGCCCTGTTCGCGCCACACATAAGTCTTGCCCGGCTCCGACACGCCCACCTTGATGGAGTCACGCGGATATTGATCATCGTAGCCAACGGGCAGGGAGCACACCTCTTCCACGCAGCGCTCCGTCTCATCGTGCGGCTTGGTGCCCTCGCACAAGCTATCATTCACCGTGGCCACGGTACGTGAATATTCCAGAAAGATTTTGCATTTATATGCGCGTCGACGTATGCCCTCGCCGCAGGTAACGCTGCAGGGCGACCACTCGGTGTCCTTGATGAAGCTGAAAGAAAAAGTGAGAAATGAGAGAGATTTGAGAATATGTTAAACAAAATATAAAGAAATGTAAAGTTCGTAAACAAATTAAACAAAAATAATTTAAGATTTAAAAATTTGAAAATAAAATAAACTTGAAAATGGAGTTTATGACATAATTATTGAATATCATGAACTCCAATTTCAATTTACTTTTATTTTCAAATTCTCAAACCTTAATTTATTTTTGTTGAATCTTTTTAATACTTTTTTTATTAATAAATTCCTCATACATAAAAAACATTTAGCTGCAAAATTCTTAAATTAAATAAATATAATTTTTAAGATTTACAATTTAAATAGTACAGTAGCTAGATCTTTATTTAAGTTATTCTTTATAATACATACTTTTTTGTTTATATTACATAGAAATAAAAAAAATTTTATATAAAAGCATTTGTTAAGGAATACTTTAGTAAATACTTTAAGAGGAATTTAACATTTAACATGTTCATCAAAAGCTGAAGCTAAATAAATATTTTCATATTTGCGTATTTTTAAGTTTTATATATTTAACGCAATAAATGAAATTTCTTTTAAGTATTCAGTGAAAAATATTTATTATTATAAATAACAAAATATTATGTATATGTATATGCTTAAAACTAAATTATATTTACTTTATATTTTCATACCATTGAAGTTTATAAATAAGTAGATTAACTATAACTTAGACTTTCGCGTCTATTGCATGTGATATTCAAATTGCAGATGCAAATGCTTCAGTCTATTGAAACAAAGCACAACTATAAAGCTAAGCTTTATATTCAGCTAACAAACAGATGAGCACAGCACATAAAAGGCAATGCCCACAACTATCTAAAATACTACGACTCCCCTCTGTGTCCACAGCTGCGACCGCACCGTCCCGCCACCACCCACACCACTCCACTATTCCGTGTGACATTCGAGTACTAAACAAATGTCATGCGACAATAGTCAACGCCACGTTTTACACATTGTATTTCATTTCATGCTACGCAGCATCCGAGTCGCATTTATTAAGCCTGCCCCGCTGGCAGAGCCCCAAAAACTGTGCTATATGACATGTTCGGCCATCACTGTATGCCCAATCGCCCAATACCCTATAGATATACATGTGCTTAGTAGGGATGGCATGGATTAAAGAGATAGGTATGCATACAATGAAATGTAGATGTTAGATAATATGAAATATAGACGTGAGAAGCTTTCAGAACCGAAGAGAGAGCTATAGATAGCTAAGATATTCACAGAACATCGACATAGTAGTGGAAAGAGAAAGCTATAGATTTTATAGTAGAGAATCTGTCTTAAAAATTGTATATACTCATTAGTTTTACTATAGATAGTTATATATATCTAAGAATAGATTTAATAAGAGAAGCTAATCAAAGATAGAGAAGAAAAGAGAGAGCTTTATATATTTGAGTAGCGAAATTATTCAGCGATCTAAAAAAGGGGAAGAGAGCTATAGACATTAGTATATAGAAGCTGCCTATAAATGTGCATAGATAATTGAGAGCTATAGATATAAACAGTTGATAAAATATAATATTGAATAATATAAATATTCTCGTATATGCAGCCTCTTTAATTTCTATAGATTCTCTTTCAAATCGTAGTCGCACGTAGTCAGAATCGTAATAGAGTTTTGCATATGTATAGGGCATTCACTTAGTCATTCACTGCCCTATTCCCATATTTGGAATTATTTTACAGCTATTATTGTTGCCTGGGCATTGTTTGTTGGCCGGAGTGGTTTTTATGACCGCATTGACAGTCAATAGAAGAGCTTGACACAGCGCATAGTTTTCTGACCGCGCTCCAACGGCCAGACACTGGGCCAAACGCCCCCGCTCCGGCCTCGAGGCCAATTGGTGTCCGCGTGCTGTGACTTCCCTTCCCCTCACCCACTCAACGATGACCCGTCCCTCGGCAGCTTATTGATTTGTAGTCAAATTGTTGCCACCGCCAATGCCAGTGGGACCACATCATGCGCATTAAAAGTGGCGCCAATGTTACAGCATCTACAGAAAGGACCTCGGTAAGTAGGTCGCTATTCGTTGATTTCATAACCGGCGCCCGTTGCTCATACGCCGCGTAGGCCAAGTGCCAAACGAAAAACGTTTGAAACTTTTGTTTGCGCTTTATTATTATCAATTGTTGTTGCTCTTGTGGATGTTGCTGTTGGTTTTGTTTTCTTTGGCGTTTGTATTTTATTTTATTTCCTTTTTTTTTTTTTTTTTGTTGGCTTGGTTTGTTTGTCTGGCGCGTCGCCAACACATCGCCTTGTGCCTTGCGCCGAACACAGAGGCCAAGGTTTTTCGGCGGCATCAAGACGCGACTTTATGGCGACAGGCGTCAGGCGACAGGCCGCCAATAGTTTCAGTTTAGTGCCGAGGCCAACATGGATGATAGTATCTCTACTACTCCATACACATACCATACTATTCTATACTATATAATACAATATAAGTTAAATTGCCCTCTCAGCGAAAATATAAAAAGCGGCAGTTTGTTTGTTTGCTTGTTTTTTTTCAACATCGCACCATTAAGTCGTTGAGCAATGTGTGTCTGGAGCTTGGGTCAATGCACGAACTATTGCGAACGGCAAGTAGGCATCAAATGTAGCTATAAACTGTTAAGTTCTCAAGTGGATTTCTGCATATATTGCGATATATAGGCTCAGGTAAACTAACTGCAGGCTTCAATTCATTCTTTCACTTAGTAATACTACTTAGCTGCAACTAATTATCATGTAATTATATGTTCATGAACTAATCTGTTTTTTAGCTGTTCATAACGAGTCATCAAAGTATACTATACAATTCAGTTTCCTAAGCCAGCCCATCAACTATTTTTCTTTCTTTTAACTCCTCCTAAACTAGAGATCTTTGAATAATACTGTTCAGCCAAGCATATAAAACCTTATTTGGTTAAACTGCTCATGAACTCTTAGATCATTTGAAGTTGTTCAGCTGTACTTGAACTAGTTTTCAGGTGCAGTTCACTGAGCTATGAATACAACATGTATTTGTTCATGAACTAAGAGTTCTTTGTAAGTTTTTTTAGTTGTTTATGAACTAGTGATCAGAGAACAATGCAGTCAGTCAGAAAAAATGTTTCACGTTAAAAAGTTCATGAACGATTAGTTCTTTTTACAGTTTTTTGCTCTCCATAAACTAGTGATTAGTAAATGGACTAAACTGGTCAATGAGCAGCAAATATATTAAGAATATTTTTTATTCTTTAACAGCTCTGGAACTATAGTTTTTAGCGTTTGTTTTTAGCTATTGATAAGCATTTATGATACTTGGACAGAAGAACTTGATTTTTGCTTATTGAAGAAGTATCTCTGTCTAAATTTCAAGATTTATAGGTCGATTATTCGGGCTGATGCTATTTGTTCATATTATTTATATATATTATATATGTTTTAGGCTTTATAAGTCACGCTGAACTCCACTCAGTTCTGAGAATTGACTATTGAGTACAACTCCCCTTAGATTCTTATATATACTTAATATATATGCCTAATTAGTGCTACCAATTTTCGTTAATAATTATTGTGCCCCCACTCATTTCATCGAAGTAAGTATTTCACATTGATTACACTTGGCTGATAAAATGTTTGAGAATGTCGTTTCCTATGAAATTACATGACTTAGTATTTGTCATAAAATAGTTTAATACTAGATAGATTTAATACTAAATTGCTTAGCTTCTTCCAACACTCTCGATTTTATTTTATTTTCTTGAAATCACAGCAAAGGAAATGGAATACATATAAATTACATGAATAATTGGGTATATTCTTATAAAACGAATATTAAATGCCCTTTATTTATAAATTGCAATATACAATATATGCTAGGCTAAAGATTTCAGATTACTAAGGTATAAGTACTCGTATAAATTACCTAATATAACGAATATGAAATGCCCTTTCCATATAAAATTCATAATATAATGAAAGCTGCAATTAAGATTGTAGATTACTGAGCTATAAGTATTGAGAATACTTAATAAAAGGCTGGGTACTCAATGCATTCAGTAATTTGTTCTCAAGGTATTTAGAGTACTTACTGCCAAATGCCTGATAACTTAGAGTATTATGGATAATTTCAGAACAATTACAGTGCCAAATCTCAGATTTATGGGGTAATGCGCTCAAATTCATGACAAACAATCCACATTCCTGATCGGAGCATTTCGCATTCCATAGCTTATCTGCATTGCCCTGCGTCAGGATATGACGAGGACAGCCTAACCTAGCCGAGCCGTAGTGCGCGCGCTACCCAATCAGAGCTATAATTTATTATTTGGTCTACGACTATTCCCCACATACCAATTAACAGTTAAAAGCATTTGATTTAGCTAGCTCCAAACGATTTCATTAGATGTTCCCCATTCGCCGTATCGAAGCCTAATTAAAGTGTTGGCTTATATGCACTATTCGACCTCGCCGCACAGCCCCCGGCCCGACAGCCAATTCGACAGCTTATCGCGGCTACTTTATCGCTTTCCAATAAACATCAACAGCAACAAAGCACACGACAGCACTTTAATTGTCATTAGGCGTACTTTACTGTACTTACAAGCAACTCGAACAGTTTCATGTTGATGATGATGATGTTGATGATGTCGCTGTCGATAGCCTTAATTTTAGGTGTCGACACGGCTCAAGGACATTATGAGAAGGCATACTACGTGGCCACACTCAATCTTATTGCTCTATGTGTGTGTGTGTATGTGTGCGTATATGAGTGTAAGAGTGAGTGTATACAGCTTGTAAGTTCTTGTAAGCCAAGTACTTAAGCTGAAGTCGTGGGCAGAAGGAGTGCCAGTAGTTAGAGTCGAAGCGAAGAAGCGCATAGCACTCGCACTTGAGCTACAGTTCAAATATGTCAAGTACGTCCTGGCTAGGAGCTCTGCTGTCTGAGTTGGAGTCTAGGTCTGAGTCTGAGTCGGAGTCTGTGTAATGATGAATTGTGAACCAGCGCCTTGGCCTGGGTTGGGAATAAGCAACTTTGACTACATAACGGCAAAGAATATTAAAGATTCCACAAAAGCAAATAAATTAAATATAAATTTTGCTTTTAATTATTAACTTAGAAGTTTATATCAAATCAAAAGTTTATTTTAACAAAACAATTAACCCAACGGCATTTTCTGGTTATTAATTGGTCTAGAATCGTTTCTTTTATTTTCATTAAATAATTAATACTTTTAGGGTATTAATCGATCTAGTATTAAGTATTTTTTTCTGGATTTATTTTGATGAGTTGCTATACATAATTTGTCTGTTTAAATTTCAAATTGCCTTCATTATAAATTAGCAATAAATGTAATCATATTTATATTGATTTGTTTTTCGACTTATCGAAAACAAAAACGAGCCTTTCTATGCGATTCTCATGTAGGTAACTGATATTTCCACTGCATGTGTATGCATACATTTCTTTATAGTTTATATAAACGTTTAAACGTCTATACTTTTTTTATACTTTGTTGTCTAAGTTGGTCTAATAGAATGATTTTAATGTGAAATGATAAAATGCTTGTTAATTAAATTTATTTAATAGCCTTAAGTGCTATTTTAACTGCAAAAGTAACGAAATTCCCACTATATCTGGATATCTTATTTAAACAAAAAATAATCTAAGCTTATAAGACGCCTTCCTCTAAGATTCTCATATTTTCAAGTGCAATTCTCATCCAACCAAACTTTCACCCTCTCCGTCTCTTACTTTGTCGTGTTTACCAACAATTTGAGCCAAATATTTGCCTTAAATTCAAGAAAATATTTCCATATCAACCCACATTTCGCACTCACCTTGGATCCAGGGAGGGCACATCCGTTCCACCGCTTGCACCACCTCGCGCATTATTGTGATTCTTGCTGGAGCTGCCACTCATGAGGCGCATGGTGCGTGGCTCCTCGGGCGTCTCGTGATGCAGTCGACTTTGTGTGTGATGCGCATAGCGCATCGGTTGATCGGCATAGGACATGCCTTCGCCGTCGTCAGTGTCTTGGCCTGATTCCATATCATCATCCATATCTTCAACTTCTTCATCCTCATCGTCGTCGTCCTCATCCAGATCCGAGCTATCCATATGCCGTTCAGCGCGCTGTAAAGACCGATTAACGTTAGCTTTTCGGCTTAAGCCACACAAGTGGCGGCAAATGCCACGGGCTCACCTCATTCAGGGAACGACTGCTGCCGACAATAATGGTGCCACCGCCCTTATTTGGGCCACCATCGCAATGGATGCCAGTCGAACACTGCTGCATGCTGCCGGGCTTCGTTAGGGGATCGCATTTGGCACTCAGACTGCCATCCGTCGATTTGCACTCGACACCGCGCATCTGAATGCCCTGGCCACATGAAACGGAGCACTAAGAGCGAGAGGGAGATAGAGAGAGAGAGAGAGAGAGGGAGAGAGTTGTTAGGGATCCATAAGCATTATAAATTATTGCAATATGTTTTACGGAGGGCGCAATAAAAATTCATTTGTTTGCGCAAAAGATGACGATGCTTCAGCGCGTGTTGACGAAGTGCTGTCGTGAAAAGTGAGAGAAGTGAAAGTAAAAGTGGACTGCTAAATGGATAGGGGGGTGGTGCGGGCATGGTCAGACACCCTTCATATGCCCTATCCCACCAACGGTGCGGCACGTGCACGCGCCCACGCATACAAATGCAAATTTCTCATTTTGTTTGCGTTTTGTCAGTTGGCGCTGCCACGCGGCGTATGCGTAACGTCCTTTTCAAGTGGCTTACCCCATTGTTTATCTGCGCCCCAAGCTCAATCCCCAGCCCATTCTCATTCTTATTCACTTTCCCATTCCCAGCCATTGCTTTTATGCATTTCATGCGTATTACGGCTCCGGCTCTGCTCAACTCCTCGCTTCTCGCCTTTGGCTTTCCGCAACTTTTAGCCACTTTTCAGCTCATTTTAATGGCGCTTAATTTTTGTGCCACACATACATATATATATATATATATATGTATATAGGTATACGCATGTGTACATATGTGCATGTGYTTGGCCATACTTATTTTATTAATGTGCAAAAAGCATTAAATGTGTTTTTTTATTGACTCTCGAGGTCGAGCTGAGTTGAGCTGAGTTCAGTTTTTCTACTCTTGCGAAATATACTGCAAGTTGGCTAACAAATATGACTTGTGACCTCCGACCACATTATCTTATTGATACTGAATGGATTGGTATATGTTTTTCACTGCATTTTAAAATAATATATAAAAA